AGTAACAAGTGCCTTACTAGTAGTAACAAGAAGCTAGTAGTAACAAGAAGCTAGTAGTAACATTTTCGTAGACCTCCCTATCCTTTGGGCCCAACCGAGGCTCGATGACCAGGGAGCTCGTCTCGACCACCTGTGCGTCTCCAGCAGCGCGCTGGGTGGCCTGGGGGTCTTCGCCCAAAGCCATTTCCGGCAGGGTGACGTGGTGCCCTGGAGGGCGTGCGCCACGCGACGTTCCAGCGGGGTGGGTGCTTGCTTGTGCAAGTCAAGCACAACTAGTCGGGCGAGGAGGTGTATATAAGTCGCAACGGCAGGGAGAGATGACAGGGGAGGGCGAAGTCGCAAGGTGTTGGAGGCGTGAGCGGTTCTTTTTGAGAGCAGTTTCTTCCAATGCAGAATTAGAAAAACAGAGTAATAGTAATAGCAATCACATCCATAAGAAGAGGTCACAATTCAACATTCTTTTTCATCAACGGTCGATTCATTTCGCTTTGCAAACCAGGCTTTCTCGACTGGACGCTGTTCGACTGGGTGGATGTGTTCTGTGCACAACAGGAGTTCTTCAAGTCTTAGACCGCCTTGCAGAAGAACCAAGGATGAACCAAGAATTGGACCATCTTGATCTGAGTAGAGCACAACATGGATCTTCCAAAAAGATCAAGGAGGTCCTCAGTCAATGCTCAGTCCTTAGACCGGAACCTAGGGTGGATCCATCTCTTTTCCTGCCAAGTCGCCGAGATCCCTGGACATGGCCTTTTACATCCGTTTACTGCTGGTTGATGACACCTTGATGATACCCCCCGAGCTGAACCACCACGAGCGGAATCGCCTTAAGGCTAGGTCTACGTCATGGTGGGCCCAAAAAAACCGGTTTGACCTCGAAGGGTCTGACCAGATGTCCCATTTCAGGTCCGCTCCGACCGGTCGGACTGCGCGCGGACCGAGCGCGCGGACCCGAGGTCTGCGAGGTCCCCGGCTCGGCGCTGCTCGCGGCCGAGCTCGGCGCCTGGCGCGGCCGCGCCTGGAGCGCGGAGGCGCGGCTGGCGGCGCGGCTCTTGGAGGAGAAGCGCAAGGGAGGCGCCGGTGCGCACGGCGCGGCGCGGGCCGTTCGAGCGTGGTGGGGAGAGATGCGGCAGGTGGTTTTTACCAGGTGGGTGGCGACCTGGACGAAAAGCTTTTGAGTGAAGGTGGTGACCAGGTGGCAAAATTGGAGAAGGACCTCCATGAATGAGAAACAGACGTGTGTGAGCTTGCCCTACAGTAGGCCCTACAGGTGCAAAGACCCAGTAAAACCTGGTCCTCTACCTCACTGGGGAGTTGTTTTGTATGATGAACTTCAGACAATTGAGGTCTTTAACCTGTAGGCAGTGGAGAAATCAATCAAACGAAATTGACAGGTGATCTGGGATGTTTCTTCGCGCTGTTCGGGTTCACCCAAGGTTTCTTCGGTGTGTCCCGACTGAAACCTGGAGGCGAGTCCTTCTACGAGCCCTACATTAGCAGCTGGTTCTGCATAATGTACTACACTGGCAAGCGAACACCCGAGTGAGGGAGACGGAGAGGAGGGAGAGGAGGAAGAGGAGGAGGAGGAGGGAGCGAGGGAGCGAGAGAAAGAGAGAGAGAGAGGGATAGATAGATAGATAGATAGATAGATAGATAGATAGATAGATAGATAGATAGATAGATAGATAGAGATATAGATAGAGATATAGATATAGATATAGATATAGATATATAGAGAATAGATAGACACGCACACACACACACAAACGCACACACTTATGAATTTGTGTACTGATTTGGTTGCGGTTTGCCACACGCCAGGCTAAGTGAAAAAAACCTAAGAAACCAGGACAGGGGTAGGTACGGTGGTCCAAACTTCCTCAAAACCTGCACAGCCTCCAACTTCGAATCGACGCATCCAAAGTGTAAAAGCAAAAGCAACTGCAAAAGCAAAAAGGCAAGTGCATGTCTGCAGAGCTCAAAACCGATGCAATGGCCAGCGACTTGTTCTAGTAACAAAGGGGCCCATGAGGAAGTAAGTGGTGATCACTGCAGGTACGTCTGGCTGATCAGGCCAGATATCCGCATGTACTGTGGCCGCTTCGTTGGACCATCGCTCGCAGCACGTGGATGGTCCCCCTGCTGAAAAACTAAAAACCGCACAATCCGACCGGATCCCTGTGATTTCAAGGGGCACACACACGCCCCCCCGAGGTGGGGCCGAAACTGCTAAGGTCAGGACGCATGTGCATGTGCACGCGTGCGAAAGACAAAAGAATGAAGACATGACAAGAGGACGGGACGGGACAAAGGTGTAGGTGGTTGTGATGAAAGGGGGAACCAAGTGCACAGGGGGAGCCAAGTCCACGACGACGACGACCACCACGACGACGACGACGACTACTACTAGTACTGCTGCTGCTACTGCTGCTGCTGCTGCCACTACTACTAGATCTGCTACTGCTACTACCACTACCACTACCACCGCCACCACCACCACCACCACCACCTATGAAGATTAACACTTCAGTGAGAACAATTCCAAAACCTTTAAAAATCAAAAATGAAATCTACCCGACTGCGACTAGTCGGCACGATCGTCACGCGGCCGCACGAGCAGGATACTTTTTCCGCTCTTGAGCCACGAACGAAGTCATGGTTGGTGCATTTGCCGAAGTGCGTTATGCGAACTTGGTACACTTCTCGGATTTGTGCCGTGTCGGCATGCGGTCAAAAACTGGCATGCTAATGCCAGCAACCTATGGCATCCATGTGCACCTAATGTAGAAGCAAGTTTTGGTTGATTTGGAAGGGACATGAACTTGGTGTTGGACATTCACACCCCCCCTCAACCAAACACTGGCTTGCATCAAACTATTTTGAAGAAAAGCTTTTCAAGAGGTATTCAAGAACTATACTTTATTACCATCTTATGCAATATGGATGCACTGCTTGCAAGGCTGGATCACACGGTCATGGTGACCTAAGCATGGGCAACTGCCATTATCATGGATCCGATGAACCTTTCGGGGAAATTCGAACGAAAACCCGAGCTTCTGCTCTTGAGACACAATGCCCAAAGGGAGACAATTCCTGCACAAATGGATAGGCTTCGCAAGAGATGAATTTGCATGATGCTTCAGCATCGAACAATGCACTTTGTGCAAGCGAGTGCCACTCTTAGTGGTCATACAAAAATCTTCAGGCGTGAGCTCATGAGGGGCTTCATTCTCCTTTCGAGGCGGCGGCAATCTGGGAGACACAGGACGTGGCGGAGAATGACTCGGAGGTCGAGGACCATCATCTTCATCAATCTTTTCCCAATCCTGAGAGCCATCCGAGGCTTTGCCAGCACTGCTTTCATGGTCCATCTTCTCATCTTCATTCTCAATCTCTGGGATCGTTGCTGAGGCAGCTTTTCCAGCTTCATAGTGATCCAATCCTTTGTCATTAGCACTTCCATCTTTTGTGGAAACTCGATCGCTGCTTGATCCTGCGGCACTCTTGTCACGCTTCCGAGATTCACCTGTGGTGACCCTCACTTCAACTTCCACAGTCGAAGGAGAGTCCACTGAAATCACCACGCGAGACTTTGGCGCCATCACAATGATTCAAATGGCACAGGATCAAAGAGCAAAAGATGAAAACTATGTGTATATCTTTATGTGGGATGACGTCATCAAGATCTCTATTGAATTCTTTCAAGGTGTGATCGGTATTCATATGGATCAGGTCTACCTCGAGTTCGACGATGCCGGGCATGCATTTAAACACCTGTGATTGTATCCATGTTTATGGAGTTTGAAGCGAACAGACGATGTTCGACGCAAAAAAATGCAACTCTGTGAATTACACTTTCTCTTTCCGATCAATCAATCCCGGATGCTCAGGAACCATACGGCGATCTGGAATGAC